TATATATATAATGTGACCACTGACTCTCAAAACTTCTGGACATATATATAAATAGGTATATATAGAAATATATAGGCCTATATGTGTAGATACTAACACATTAAATGCTATGCTATAGATTTATATTTTGACCAAATGATTCTCACAAATTCTGCTTCAGCTACATACCGTACTGTTTTTATAGGCATAGATTCTTTCTCATACCATTATACATGCAATAACAAACCAGGGTTTCACCTGTCACAGTCAAATTAATATTTTATCTGCGGTAGTCAAATTAATTTCAGTAATTGAGCTGCTACCTTTCATTGAACATCACGAATTGTTATCATAACTTACTCCTATTAGTTCACTTATAGAAAACATCGTATCTATAATGAAAGTTATTGCAGCGTCGCACGCATAGCTATAATACATATTGTTGGATATTCACGTGCCAATGTCCGCTCATCGTTCATAACATGTATACAAGAAGCAGAAGTACTCTAGATTTTGCATAAATGACAGTTATCATATCATATGTTTGGTTACGAGATACACAACGAGGTACCGTTATGAAGGTACTTCCTGAGTGGTTTTAAAAGTAAAGCAGGCGTGGTTTGGCTATTACAGACAGAGTCACTGCAATTCTGCAAATAAATCATCGTCAAATCTCCCGGGTCTGCCAGGCTTAGATCTCCAATCAACGACTTCTTACAGACGATGCCTTCGTAAACATAAGCTTCTCACTGAACTGTAGCAAGTTAGATACGTTCCGACTTCGAGCCTAAGTGGTAATAACGACTCTCCGACGGCATAGATTTCGTCGCGATAATAATCATCATGTCTGTAGGTCATTACTCCGTCATCTTGATCGTTCTTTGTACAATTCCATGTTTTTTTGCAACGCCATTCCTAATGAACTTCCAAGAATATCGCCGGTCTGTGAATGAAAGTTATGAGCCGCAAGTTACAGATAAAAAGGAGCAAAATACTGTTGATCGACTTCTTAAACAAATCGAAATACACGCTGATTCGATCAGTGTAGACGAAGACTCGCCTCCACAAATCGTTGATACTTTGTTTAGCTCGATTAAACATATTGAAAACAATGGCTCTAAAGGATTCGACGGAATATCTGTTAGACGGAGACGCAGCGGTAAATTAGGCATACAAGGAAACAGAGCAAAGTCTGCACGTCGACATGGTCGTAAGTGGCCTAGAATGAACAATGTGTATTTGAACATTTCGACAATGAAAACATTTCCGTACAAAAATGCCGTACGTGTCGGAGCTTCAATTTTCCAATCGCCGGGTTGCACAGGCTATTTGCTAGACAATCGACACGTTTTGACCGCGGCACATTGTATCCACGATGGTAAAAACTTTTCAATACATCTACGCAGCAACAACATGCGTGTAACTGCGATTAACGATAGACCCGGTAAAATCAGATTTATCATCTATAACATTACAAATGCACGTGTGCCCACAGGTTGGTTAAAACCAACTTCGTCTGCCGTCGGTGGTCACTGGAAGAACTTTGACTACGCAATTCTAACCCTATCAACAAACAATCGTCCAGAGTTATCGACAGGCAACGACGTACGCTTCGGCATGCCCAATTACAAAGACGGAATCGCTACAGTCATCTCATACACTTGGTACCGGCGGAGTTTTCAACCTGTTAAAACTACTTGTAAGATTCCTAAAAATGGTTTCTCGCAATCAGGCAATCGCCTAATGACAAAATGCAATGCTGAGTTGGGCAGCTCTGGTTCAGCCGTCTTTATGAACACCATTCGAGCTGGAGACATAATCGCAGGGATTGTATCGCACAGATACGACACTTTCGAAGTTATTAACATTTTAACGTCTGCCAAAGTTGAGAACATTTGCTCAATGATTGCTGGTGATCTTTCGCATAGAGATATACCTACGAAGCTGCCCACAACTTGCCAGAAGAACGGCTACAAAAAACACCAATTACTTCGATCCAACTACGTCTCATTTTCAGGCAACTTACGGTTTCATCGGCATTCGCAAAGACGAAAACAATAATTAGTTAAAACGTCAACTTAAACGAGATTTGCGGGGTTTTTGACCAACCAGAGGAAAATTGAGATTCTTTCATACCATGTTGAAGTCCCACGGACTGGCTAGGCCTAATTGATACATCGATTGCTTTTATTTATCTTAATCTTTTAAATATGTTTATTTAATATATTTATTTATTTAATATAATTATATATTTATTAAATTATACAAGTATTTGTTAAATATGCTATACCGATTATTTATATATATTTTTTTTATTTTTTAAGAAATGCAATAGATTAAGCTTACAAAAAACAATTCTAAAACAAGAAAACTAATAATCTAAGCTAATTTAAGAAGCGATACTAATAGTCGTATTAGCAGACCAGAAACAACTGTTCCAGGATACAGATATTTCAGCCTGGCCTTCGCTGAAAAGCAATAACAAAGCCCTTATAGTGATTGCGTATCCAGGGACTGTGAAAATGTAGACAAGTCACGTGACCCTCTTCCTATTGTACCGGTCAATGTCTTTAACTTTATATTATAGGCTCATTTATTTCCACATTGTGAACAGTTTTAACAACATGTGTTTTTATTGCAATTTTTACTTCTTATTTTATCTATTATATATTTTGAGAGGATAATTAAAGCAGTTAAAGCTCACTTTAAGGAACCAGATGTGTATAAGAGACAGGCTTAGATCTCCAATCAACGACTTCTTACAGACGATGCCTTCGTAAACATAAGCTTCTCACTGAACTGTAGCAAGTTAGATACGTTCCGACTTCGAGCCTAAGTGGTAATAACGACTCTCCGACGGCATAGATTTCGTCGCGATAATAATCATCATGTCTGTAGGTCATTACTCCGTCATCTTGATCGTTCTTTGTACAATTCCATGTTTTTTTGCAACGCCATTCCTAATGAACTTCCAAGAATATCGCCGGTCTGTGAATGAAAGTTATGAGCCGCAAGTTACAGATAAAAAGGAGCAAAATACTGTTGATCGACTTCTTAAACAAATCGAAATACACGCTGATTCGATCAGTGTAGACGAAGACTCGCCTCCACAAATCGTTGATACTTTGTTTAGCTCGATTAAACATATTGAAAACAATGGCTCTAAAGGATTCGACGGAATATCTGTTAGACGGAGACGCAGCGGTAAATTAGGCATACAAGGAAACAGAGCAAAGTCTGCACGTCGACATGGTCGTAAGTGGCCTAGAATGAACAATGTGTATTTGAACATTTCGACAATGAAAACATTTCCGTACAAAAATGCCGTACGTGTCGGAGCTTCAATTTTCCAATCGCCGGGTTGCACAGGCTATTTGCTAGACAATCGACACGTTTTGACCGCGGCACATTGTATCCACGATGGTAAAAACTTTTCAATACATCTACGCAGCAACAACATGCGTGTAACTGCGATTAACGATAGACCCGGTAAAATCAGATTTATCATCTATAACATTACAAATGCACGTGTGCCCACAGGTTGGTTAAAACCAACTTCGTCTGCCGTCGGTGGTCACTGGAAGAACTTTGACTACGCAATTCTAACCCTATCAACAAACAATCGTCCAGAGTTATCGACAGGCAACGACGTACGCTTCGGCATGCCCAATTACAAAGACGGAATCGCTACAGTCATCTCATACACTTGGTACCGGCGGAGTTTTCAACCTGTTAAAACTACTTGTAAGATTCCTAAAAATGGTTTCTCGCAATCAGGCAATCGCCTAATGACAAAATGCAATGCTGAGTTGGGCAGCTCTGGTTCAGCCGTCTTTATGAACACCATTCGAGCTGGAGACATAATCGCAGGGATTGTATCGCACAGATACGACACTTTCGAAGTTATTAACATTTTAACGTCTGCCAAAGTTGAGAACATTTGCTCAATGATTGCTGGTGATCTTTCGCATAGAGATATACCTACGAAGCTGCCCACAACTTGCCAGAAGAACGGCTACAAAAAACACCAATTACTTCGATCCAACTACGTCTCATTTTCAGGCAACTTAAGGTTTCATCGGCATTCGCAAAGACGAAAACAATAATTAGTTAAAACGTCAACTTAAACGAGATTTGCGGGGTTTTTGACCAACCAGAGGAAAATTGAGATTCTTTCATACCATGTTGAAGTCCCACGGACTGGCTAGGCCTAATTGATACATCGATTGCTTTTATTTATCTTAATCTTAATCTTTTAAATATGTTTATTTAATATATTTATTTATTTAATATAATTATATATTTATTAAATTATACAAGTATTTGTTAAATATGCTATACCGATTATTTATATATATTTTTTTTATTTTTTAAGAAATGCAATAGATTAAGCTTACAAAAAACAATTCTAAAACAAGAAAAACTAATAATCTAAGCTAATTTAAGAAGCGATACTAATAGTCGTATTAGCAGACCAGAAACAACTGTTCCAGGATACAGATATTTCAGCCTGGCCTTCGCTGAAAAGCAATAACAAAGCCCTTCTATGATTGAAATAACGTCAAATAGCCAGGGTAAGTAACGTGACAAGTATTGAGTGAAAATTGAAATTCTATTTTCTCTCTCTAATTCCCTGAATGCTAGAGCGCCCTCTTTGTATACACATAGAAGAACCTGGGACGGAACTGAAAAAAACTATGTATTTAAAATAAAATGTTGCTTTTTAATTATGTGTCCGCACTTTTAAATGGTTTGAATACAGTAATCTAGCTAATGAACTAGTATAAATAAACGTTACAAGGAATCGATATTCCCATGCACAACATACCTACCTCTCATGTGTAGGCTAAATGCAGACAGGCGTTATACGCTTCCGAACATCTTCCTATCACGCCTAAAGAATACTTTTATTTTTAATTTTATGTGCATATCTAAAAAATGGATTGACCCGCTTTGTAACTTGCCATAGCTTTATACTAAACTGATACCGTTCAGTTGTTTTCGAGATAAAAAAAAAGTTAAATTACAAATATCAGGGGTTCCAAGTTGGAAGAAGTCATTTCCGGGATATTTGCAATGGCTGATCCAGAAATTCGAAATTTAGGGGGCCAGGAAGAGACTTCCACAGATGGAAGGGATGTTCTTGCTTGTTTGCAGAGTGTGGGAGGCCGTCCCGATTTCTGGGAGACTCCTCCGAGATCCAGAAGACTTGGGACCCCTGAAATATGGAAAAAGTTTATCGCTAAAAAATGAAAGACACCAGTTTTTTTAACTGAAAGCTAATGATAAATGCAATTAGTATAAATTCACATAAAGCACCAGTGTACTTGACGAGTAGGCCTACTTTGACTTTATCATTCGTTGAAAATTTATCCTCTCATAAAACGAATAATTGGTACAAATTATGTTTATATAATTCTTCATCGTAAAAGTTACAGTATAACATACAATAGCTTATGAGCTAAGAATAGTAGCACTACAGGACGCACATTTACATTTCTATGGATGGTTCTCAAAGATACTCAAATGCTCCAAATGGTCACGGTATATCCATTTAGCACAGTTACCCGGCATTGAACTCGTCAGAAACGCGTCATATTTTGACGTAATAGAATCGATTGCTTGGCGTACCTTTCTATCCAAGTGCAAACTTAAAATATAAGTATCTGTAATAGCGCCCTCGAGCAAAATCACTTGACAGGAGTTACGTAATTACAAATAAGAATTAACTTTATTCTGACCGTTTGTGATTTGCATGTTCATATGTACAAATTATGTTGGGTGGAAAGGTGAATATACTTTAAGTATTAACTGTCTCATATCTATGATACGATACAAAATACGTACCATATATGCCACGCACGAAGTTGTGAAGTAGCTAACAATACTCTATCACTATTATTAAGCTTCACATATATACGAATACTGAATATAGCTTGAATTATACACACAC